TTCTCCTGACCCATGGGGTTGTTTTGACCACATAGGTCAAAGGTAATAAAGGCGAACTTTTCTACTGTAAAAATCCTGTGATTACAATTGGATTGCACTGAATAAGAAACACAATGTATTGTAGTACAAATGATACTGAAGTACTAAAGATTTGTTTGAAGAGATAAACATCTTTGTGTTGATGGAACTAAAGGACATTGGACATTGAAGGATAGTCCTCCCCGAGCATGTGGTCACACTTGGGGATGATCACATATTACAGAGTAGTATTAGCCACCATGACACTTTAGCATTTGATGTGTTTATATTTGTTGTTAAAGTTGTTGACAAAAACTCTCTTTTCTCCAGTGCAGAGATTAAAGATTACTTCCCGTCATGACTCCTGATGCTGTACGTTGGCTCTTCACAAAACTATAACTAAAGGAAACAAAATGGTTAAGTTGCGAAGCACAACTCGAGAACATTCCTGGTTTGGTTTTGGATGATTAACCTTACATGTTCCTCGCTCTCCCTTTGGTTTCCTTTCTTCCTTACTACAGTCAACTGTCCAATAAAGCCAAAGCACACACCCACAAAGTAATAATAATAACTTGGTGGAAGAACACTTGAGGTCATTGTTTGAAATGGTCAACAAGCAGCACTGGTTTCTTCAAATACTTGCTTTGTTGACTTGCCAAGCCACCCCAACCTCCACGGCCCGCACTGACTTTGTAGCTTCGTGCTGTTTCCTGTCTTGCTGCAAATAGATAAAACTCATTGTTGCTAGGGTTTTGTTACTTCAGGATAAACTGGTTATTTTGCTGCATACTTACTGGAACAACTGGCACTGTAGTTTTTCAAATGAAGGGAGTCTCAATGCACAAACGAGAGCTGTAGAGAAATAAAGTGTGAACATTTTTAATTAGGCCTTCTTCAGCCAGTTTTCTTTGACCATCTGTTTGTCTTTTTATCTCAATTTTATTTTAATGGACTCAGAGAAGAATGGAGTCATAGTAAGCTCACAGTGTTCTCCAGACTTATCTGTTTTTATATACGCACCATGGTCCTAACCCTGTATATCCCAGTAGAATATTCCAGATTCCTGACTGTCGTGAAACATTCCAAACACCTAAATATAGCCAAAAACTGCTGTAAAATGTCAACAGGTTAGTTAAATGTAAAGATCACAAGTAGCTCTTTTAAACCTTTTATGACCATTTAAAAATAGTATATTTTTCTACATTTCCTCATCTATTTCTCATTCCCTTTTTCTCATACTCCACTTCTTGGTCTGCCTTCTTCACCACTGCTCTCATAACTCATCTCTACCTCAAGCCTCATCTCCTGAATTGAAGTTAGGATCTAACGCACAACAACCTGCATAACGATCCTTATTTAATCTTGATATTGTCCCAAATACTGATTTTTATCAGATCAGGCATGCGACCCTCTTGCCTTCGGAGAGCTTTGGCAGCCTCTTCCAGAGTAAATAGTCACTCGGCCACTACGAGGAAACAGCGATCTGACAGAATGCACTCACTAGACAAAAGGAGTCGCGCAATCTGCAAATGTGCTTTGCATTGTCGTATTTCAATCGTTATTTGCTTGGACCTGAAGTTTTGATGCCTATTATGTATTTTTTTTTCGGGGGGCTCCAGGGAGAATTCCTCTCTTCTGGTCAATAGGATAATATCAATATGACTCTGAAAGCCCACAGCCTACAAATATGTCCATTACAATAACATCATCTGCCAGCACAGCCACTACAAAGCACATTCACGGTGACACATGCTGAAGACTAGCCCTCCATGTCCCCTGCTGCATGTTGTGCACAAACAAGTCATGTCAGTTTTCCGGTCACAGGCTTTTCCCATTGCCAAACATTTGAATGAATGTTGATCCATAAATATTTAATTGGTCCCCCATCCCCTGTGGGAGCAGCAACTAAACCCTCGATATCTGACTAACGAGATAAGAGGAGACTCAAACTCAGTATGTAGAGGGGAAAAGACAAAAAGGAAATGTCAGCAATAAAAACGGGAATATTTGAGTGCATGTGGCATCACAAAAAGTGGAGTATGTGTTCTTCCAAATGAATGGATGCATCAAAGCACAGCATAACAACAACGTTCCACTGATGTTCACGGCAGGAATGGAATAAGCATGGAGGGAGGGTAACAGCACAAACTAGGAAGGAGGACACATGCAAAACAATTAGGCATTCACTTTTAAAAGAAATGTGTAGACTGTGTGTTGCACAGAGGGGGAGGTCATGGAGGAATGTACGGTGTTAAGTATGATTGATGGGCTGGGAATGTGCAAGAGAAAAGGAATCCGCGAGGTGGATTTGCAGCAGACAGCTCATATTCAGAGAAAATTATGAAGAAAAAGTGATTCAAGGTAATTACAAGAAAAAGATTATACAGCAGTGATGTCTGTCTGGTCTTGTCTGATAGAAGCCAACTTGGTGTATGACTCAACTTGATGACTTAATGATGTTCTCTGCATTAGCTGTGGGCTGGCCTGTCCAGGGGGCATTGACATTTTCTGATGAACTCATCAGACACAGCTTTAAAGACAGTGAGTCATATATCATATGTACATATAGACTCAACCGAGCAAGTTCTGCAAAAGTGTATCCATTATCTTTCTAGCTTGTCCTAGCTGCAGCTTGGCAGAAAGAAGGTATACCCAAGACAGGTCATCAGTGAGCCACAGTGCTGCTACGTTCAGTGAGACCGCCTGAGGCATGTACTACAAAGCATGATATTGTCTTATCCAGTTAAGTTCTGGCTTTTCTGTAATACAAAGGTGGCTCACTTCTTACTGGGCTAAATTGCCATGGTAACCGATGCTGTAGACCTAACGTTCTCCGAAGCAGGTAAAGATCCAGATTAGTGATACACAAGTATGAAGTCATCACCTACCGACCAATCAGTACTCCAGAATATATCATCACCACCTCGGTAAGATTTCTCAGAACTCTGCAGGGAGAGTAGAAATGTCTAAAATATTTTTATTTCCCCGATGAGCATCGATAATAATTATAGATTTTTTTTTCTGTTGCCAGGAAACAATTTTACAACAGTTTTGCTGTTCTACAAGTGTAAATTGTTTTGTAACGCCTGTGATGTCACTTTTTTTAACAAAAAAGAGACATCACAGGCGTTACAAAACTTGTAGTCAAGTTGACATCCGTGGGACCTCCGTTTATGGGCTATTTATAGTCCAAATGTGGTCATTGTGGACGTCTTTTCAATGTTAGACTTTGACCCATTGCCGTTTTTATAATGCTTCTACATGTATAGGCTCTGTAGTCCCAGAAACAGTTATGTGTGAAGGAATGCAGAGTGAACATGTCCAAGATGGTGAGGCCTCTTGAGCTTAAACAGAGCTGAGCAGCTGCAGTGTGGATTTCGAGCAGAAATTCCCCGAGGTGTCGCGGATAAATACAACAAAATAAAACCAGTACTGCTACCAAAAAAAAAAGATTCATTCATAACACATGGGAAAAGACCCAGGGAAACCGAGTTAACGATAAAAACAATAAAAAAAATAAAAAAAACCCTGAAAAGCATAAATTATAAAAGCATAAAATCCGAGCCTCAGCTCTCGTGGCCCGGTACTAAATGACTCACTGACTGGTACCGGTCGAGGGGTTAGGGACCGCTCTTCTTAAGGACATATTGATGGTTGGGAGGAAGTAATTACTGAAGTTAACTCAGAAAGATCAGTTAGAGACAGTGATTGGCTACTGTTTGGTACAAATTGGTCTTAGCCTTAAGCCTTGAAAATTCCAAAGTTGTGTGAGTTATAAAAAATAAAAAAGCTTCAGTGACCTGATTATGAAAGGGAAAGTATCCATAAAGATCAAAGCTGTTCTTTTGTACCCTGTAAGCATGTTCTTTGGTGCCATTTGTTGATCTTTATTGCCAGCAACAAATGACCAAAAGCTAATATGCTGTGTGTGGCCGATGGTCTGGCAGGTTGGTGTAAATGCACCATTAACATGGCCTTCCAATCAGTCCTTATGAATGCTGTCTGAATCATTATCGCTAAACTGTCAAGCAGTTTTTTCAGATCTGCCATAGTTGGTTTCAATTACTTCGTGAAACCTACACTACTTGAATAAGGATGGCGAAAAACTGTGGTCATCATTATAAGCAAACATTAAGACTTCCTGGCTGATCTTGCGCTTATATTTCTTAGAGCTGATTAAACTTATATTTTGAAACCTGCTATAATAAGTAGACTAAGAAAAGCGCTGCTTCCTGTGCAACTGTGGGAAATTAAAAGTAAAAGATGTAAGCCCCACTCTCTTAAAATGTTATAAAGAGACAAATGCAGTTGTTGTAGTAAACACTGTCTCATGACAGCATCATAGATTAGTCTGAAGTGATTGAACACATGTCCAATGCTCATTTTCAGACCAACACTGTCATTCAAAGAGATGCAGGTAAGCACTTCATGATCAAGGGTAAGACAGAATTGGGCAAATACGTAAAGAAAAATAAATTGTTAGCAATGAAGCAGCTAAGAGTTGCTGTACTAGACTGTGAGGCAAAAAGAAGAGGAAGAATAGAGATGCGAAGGGAACCGAGTAAGAGATTAACTGTGTTCTGACCTCTAGCAATGGCATCAGTGAGCTGTCTGTGTGATTAGAGCTGCTGCACACTGACTGTAGCACCAAGGACGCTGCAGAGATGGGCAGAACTTCTGAGAGTATTAATTAGTCTACAAACTGTATCGACCTCTATTGAGGAACAGTAAGAATTGCAAAAATGGGAATAGGAAAAAGCCTAAGAGTGCCAGTCTACCCCAGTCCGGTATGGAAGCCAGCTAAGTTGGACCAATTGCATTTGCAGGATGGGATATGCAACTATACAGTATTAAGAGGCAGAGGACCAAATGTGTTGGACAGTGGTTCATGACTCCCAGGTTAGCACTGTTTATTGCACTGCAAACTGGGAATACTGGGCTCAGATTCAAATCCAGTTAGGAAAACTGTGGGATAGGGCTGCACGATATTAGGAAAACCTGCGATGTGCGATAACTGTGATCAATACTGCGATAACGATATGACTTGCGATAAAATAAATAGCAAAAAAAAAACAAAAAACAAATACATAATTTCCGTTTTACTGCACAGTTTTATTTAATGAAAGCTGCTGTATTAGCAGTGTAACAACAAAGTGCAGTCAAACATTGAAACATTGCCCCCATAAAAAAATTTCTGAGGCTTGAATTCTGAAAGACATCCTTCCCGGTCTCTATAATTAGTTTTAAATAAACATAACTTAAATTATACTGCAAATTATCTCTATGCAGTTGTTCATCATTTTACCACTCACCAAGTAGTTATGATGCAAGTCAAAACTGGAGTGGAAACTTTACTAGATTAAACTATAGGTAAGAACTTGTCTGCTGTGGGAACACACCAAAGAACAATTGTCTACCTTTGTGGTCGTACTGGCCAAGACTAATATTATCAACAATTAAGAACAATGTAGGTAGTGTATTTTTGTAATTTTTTGAAAAAAAAAAAAGGTTTCTCTATCTTGCATTCATCCTTCCTGAGTGAATGTTTTTTATGGCAAGTTCTTGTTAAGGAAAACCAACATGTTTACTCTCCAAGGTTTTAAACATGTGCGCTGACATGTTACTATGTTTCCTGATGTACTAAAAAGTCTCTCTGAAGGTGAGCTACTTGCAGGTATGCAGAGATACTTCCTTGCAAGCTTGCTTAGCTGTGGGAATGTCATTTTGTGGAGTTTCCACCATGCCAAGGGGTCTTCCTCACTGTCTATGGCCGTGGATAGCAAGTAGCTGTTAAGCTCAGCTTCAACAGCTTGTGAGAGATGCATAAAAGAGGAGGTAGGGATTGGAGCTGCCTTGAAGAAACTGCCCAGGGACTTTTTTGCCTTCTTCAGGGGACGACTGGGTGGATCATCTGTCTGGGCCTCTGGTTCAGCGGAGCTTCTCTCCTGGAACAGAAAGCAGATTATAAGAAAAGTAAACATTTTGGACTAAATATGAATTGAAAGGTTTTATATATAAGCATGCATGAATACCTTCTGTGCCACTGCTTCCATTTCTGACATCACTCTGGTCTTGATGTCTGAGACTCGATCAGTGCTGGTGTAGCTGACTTTAAATCTGGGATCCATGAAGCACGCCATGTCCATAAGTTCCTGGGTAGCTGGATTTTCATATTTAGTAATCAGGTACTCGAGGATTTTCTTCTTAATTGATTTTGTCAAATCACTGTCTTCTTCCTTCTCTGCAAGCACCGACGTCTTCATCAGATGAAGGACTGGTTTTACATATGAAACACTAACGTAGCTCTCACCAGACAGGGCATCTGTAAAGTCTTGCAGGGGGTGTAATGCCTGGTTGACAGACTCCAGTACCTCAAGATCCTGCCAAGTAGGAATCAAGTGTCTTGATTTCTTGTCTGCTGAGATGACATCAGAAATGGCCCGCTGCTGCTCCAGGACTCTCTCAATCATCTTCTGCCTGGAACCCCACCTGGTTGGGCATTCTGTGATCAGTGTGTGCTCTGGGAGGTTGAGCTTCTGCTGTGCTTTTTTCAGAGCCATCTTTGCTTTCCAGCTGTGGCAAAAATGTCCAACTAACTTTTTGCAAAGTCCAATGGCTCGGGCAATGCGGGCATCATCTTTGATAGAATTTTCTGGAGAAATAAGAGGAAACAAAAAAACTGTCATGTTTAAAACCTTTTTTTTAAAAAAAAAAAACTAATTGAAATTTATAACTAAAGTTGTCTAAAAAGGTAACATTATCCTTATCAATATCAATTTGATAATAATGAATAGCACATTTTCATTGCTAAAAAGATCTGCCTTGAATAAAACTTACCGATTGCAAGGTGCAGCCTGTGTCCAAAACACTGAAGTCTGACCCAGTTGTTTAGCTCCGTGGCTCTCACAACATTGGCACCGTTGTCTGTGGTGATGCACACTTGTCGATCTTCTTTAAGATCCCAGCTGGCTAACACCTCACGTAATACATGGGCTATATTTTCACTAGTGTGGGAGTCTGGAAAATACACAGTCTCTAGACACCGTGTTTTCAGTTCAAAGTCTTCGGTGAGGAAGTGCACTGTGAAACTCATATATGGTTCCGTTGTACGACTTGACCATAGGTCTGTAGTGCTTGCGTAGTTTTCAGCTTGGCTCAGTTCAAACATGACGGTCTTGCGGCATGTTTCATACATTTGTGGAATGGCGACATGTGAAAAGTAGTTTCGTGAGGGGATGCGGTATCTCTGGTCCACTTTATGTATCAGACTGGTGAAGCCCTCTCTGCTAACTGTATTTATAGGCATCATGTCTTTAGCCAAAAAATGTGTAATGGCCTCTGTTATTTCTTTGTACCGCTTCGACGTTTTCTCATAAGGAATTCCACTTGAAAAACTCTGATACAGAGACGGCTGTTGGACTGCTGCGCTCTTTGTCTTAACATTAGCAACCTTTGTTTGGCTAGCCCTATCTTTCTGGAACTCTTCAAACAGTTCTCTGTGGTTGTATTGAAGATGATGGTGGAGATTAGTCGTGTTTCCTCTGGTGGTTGCCACGAGTGTTCGGCAAGTTTTGCAGAGTACCTGTGTTTGGAGAACGTCGTCTTTATCAAATCCAAAGTACCTCCAAATAAGTGAGGTACTTTTTTTTTTTTTTAGCCACGAGTTCAGTAGCATTCTCGTCACGCGTCTCGCTCTCAGCCATTACAACTTTGACTCGTTGCTGCAGCGTTGTTCGCGCCCGACCTGCGTAGGAGGCGGGCCTCTAATCCATTTGATTGGTTAATGCCGTGAAGGGCTCTATTCGACTGGTCAAATGTGTAAATGGATTTCTTTGATTGGTAAATTCTTTACAGCACGTGTGTAAACATTTTAAGGTACCCAATTATCGCAGTTTACGCCGTCTTTTGCGATGGGCCCATCGCGCAGGCTGATATCGCGATGACAATAAATTTTCGATTTATCGTGCAGCCCTACTGTGGGACAATAATTGCCACTGTTGGTATCTGAATTGGATCAGTCTACTTGGGACCAATTTGGCTTAAGTTCCCTGGACCACAGCCTCTTTTCAAAGGGTTTCATTTTGAAATGAAAGACAAAGAGAGCCTACAAAAATATATTTAAAAAAAAGAGTACAAAATTAAATGACTTGGAGAGGAGATAAAGTGACTACAAAGAAAAAAACTAACTGACAACAAACAGATGGATCCTTGGAACAAAGATACAGAAAATGTAAACTAACACATACAAAACAACTTCAAGGAGACACAAAACTACTAAGAGACATAAAAAGACTCCAAAGACACAGTAAGGGATCAAAAAAACCAAGTGAACAGACCAGTAAGCAACCAGAAGCAGACACGGAGCAACCTGAAAAGACACCATCGTTACAAAGGTGCTCACTAAAGTGACAAAGACACACAGATGAGCAGAAAATGATGAAAATGTCAAGGAGACCAAAAAAGTGTGTCTCCAAACAGACATGAAACAGCTGCAGAGTCAAATTATCACATTCACAAGATTATCAGACCTGACCTTTGACCTTGACATCAGGGTCAGTGACACACTGTCTGAGGTTTTTAACAGATGCACTTATGGTATCAACTTGAAAATCCTCGGTGATTTTCAGAAAACCTGACCTCTAAACATTGGGAGCATCTCCAAAAAATCCACCTCAAGTTTAAACTCAGCTTAAAAATCTTACATTGCCTCGTCCTGGTGCTATCATTTTCACAAAGTATGGTGTCAACACCACCCACTCACGGGCTGATGGGGGGATAATACCTAAAGCAACCAAACAACAGAGAAAAACTACAAACAGATATGAAGCAACTACAAAGACAGAAAGCTACAGTTACACATGCATGAACACAGACACAAAACGAACTGGATTCAAAACAAACAAAGAGCCACAGAACAATTACAAAGTATATCTATTCATTTTCATATATTGTTAATTTGAGTCTATCAAATATTTTGTACTTAACAAACATGATTTATTGTTGCTTCTAAACCTACCTCTAAATCATGACTTGACAACAGTCATTCGTTCATGTGGGGCATTTAGCTAACCTGCCATTTTTGCCTTTAACTTCTTCCAAGTCCAAGTTTCACCAGACACAGTGTGATAAATACTGTTTCTCTCTGACAGCTTTCATATTGTCCAGATAAAATCTTTGCTACAAAGTCATTCATTGAAGATTGATGATATAAGTTTTCAAAAGCGCCTGAAAGAAAGTTGAAAGCTTTTCACAGGCCATAATTAAAATGAATGTTGCCTCCAGAGTGACTGGCTGCTTAACTTGTTTGTTGTAAATTTATGGTGAGAGCCAGAATATGAAGTGCCAAAAGTGCAGAAGGAAGGAAATGATAAATAAGAGATATGTACCGACAGGAGAAACAGATGACAGGAAAAGAGTAGAAGGCAGAGAATGAGAAAATTAGTCTGAAGTGTAACTAAGCAAGTGCTTGGCAGCTCCTTGTTCTCTGAAGATCTTCACTAGAGGAGCTCGTTCCTCCTCCTGTTTTCTCTTTGTTCAACTTTATGTCAGCTTCTTTTCTTCACTGTCTTTTAATTCCTAGACAGACTATATGACATCCTCTTCCTCTCGTATTGCATAGTATCAGCAGAGATAGTGTTTTCCTTCCAAATTCTTTCTGTTTGTACAGCCAGCCGAAGTCTCTGGCCTTCTGTTGTTTTGCTTTGTGTATTTGTAAAATGTTGAGACGTGTTTCTTGACTATTGCAGCAGCATAAACGTGAATATTCCCAGTCTTATCCTGGCGCAGATGTTCTTCCCTAGCATGCTATCTTTATTGACTGCACTATATGGTATCAGTTTGGGAAATGCTCGTTTTTTAGGCCTCACGATCCTCATGCACGATCCTCATGCACAATCCCAGATCTACAAAAATATCTTTGCAAGTGTGGTATGAACCAGTCTATGAATCGGTCTAACTGAATGCATCGTCACAGTGAAGAGTTCTAAAATACGCTTAATGAAAATGGTGGCATGAGTATCTTGGTAATATATCAGGCATACCATTATGATCACTGACAGGTGAAGTGGATAACATGGAGTATCTCTTTGTCGTGGCGTTAGTGGGATATACGAGGCTGCAAGTTAACATTTAATCCTCAAAATTGATGTGTTAGAAACATTTTGATGGATAGACGTTCCATTCAGAGCATCTCCAAAACTGCAGGGGTGTGTGGTGTTCTCCAGTCTGCAGTGGACAGTGTCCATCAAAATTGGTCCAAGAAAAGAACAGTGGTGAGTCAGCAACAGGGTCATGAGTAGCCTTACCCACAGTGAAATCTGGCCAAATGTGTGGTCCAGTCCAAAAGATAAGGTACCGGGAACAGGTAAACACACACAGGGGGCAGAAGTCTATTGAAGCTGTCATAGGGCGAGAGGCGGGACACAACCTGGACAGATCACCAGCCTGTCACAGGGAGACAGACAACCATGCATACCTACTGACCTAACCCCACTAACTATATGTACCCAGAGACACAGAGCTTCTTCCTCTGAGGCTACAGTGCTAAACACTGCGCCACGAAACTCTCACTCCATATTTTAAAAAGTAGGAAAGGTATGATTACCAGGTTTGATACTTTTTGTCCTTGACAGCTTAAACCACAATAAACAGCACAAGCAGGCTCTTGTAACCTTGACTTTCCTGTGAGTCCAGGCAGCTATCCACTCTTTTTTTTTTTTTTTTTTTTTTTAAGGTGTCCCGTTTGGATCTTTAGCCATCAGAATTGTTGTCTTGAGGCCAAGAAAGATGGCAAGCGGATTTATTTTACCAAGTGGATCATCATGACCTTGCCATATTGGTCCATTTGATTGACCTTTATTATAATTATGAATTTATTTTATTTTCAGTTGCTACAAACGGGCCAGACATGAACTGGGGGATAGGACAGGGAGAAAGAATGAAAGAAAGAGAGGGAGAGAAAGAAAACCAAAGGGGAGAAGAGATGGTGAGAAGGGGGGGAAGAAAGAAAAAGAAAAACAAACAAAACACCTGGATCACCTGTATGGAGAAAAAGAACAGAAGAGAAAGCAAACAACAAAGAGCAACATAATAAAAAAACCAGCACCATCACAATAAACTAGCTAGCAGTAGATACTAAATATTAAACGATATTGTGCAGCACGCAAGATAGACAGTGCACAATGTGCTTTGAGGCAGCAACCAAGAAAGGTGTAGTCCGCGTCTGTGAACACCCGTGTGTACACCTGTGTGCATACCTTTGTGGATCAGCACGCTTGTATTCCAAAGGTTTCTCCATGTAACGATCTGCTAAGGAGTGTGGGGAGCCACAGCCCCGTCCACCAGGGTATGAAGCAGGTATGGAGGAGATCCAGGCCCCAGATATCCAGAGGCCCCAGAGTACAAGGACCCGAGGAGGACCACCAAAGGGGGGGGGAACCGTGCCACCCTCCTGGGAAGAGCTGAGTAGAGCCCCAAAGGAGAGGTCACCCCGCAGCTACGGAGCAGAGGCCAGAGGGGGTTGCAGTGGCGTGCCCGCGGGCTCTGCCGGCAGCCAGCTGTGCCAGAGAGGACCGAGCTTCAGGCCCAGAGGCCAGAGGTCTGAGGGCATCCCACCCCCTGGAAGGAGCCCACCCGGGCCACAGGCGCCCGGCCCCGCCAATCGGCCACCAGGAGTGAGCCGGTACATACATGAGCGCCCAGCCCCAGATGACAAGGACCACCAACACACCAACGCCTGAGGGCATCAGCCACCGGCAGGGACTGTGGTGAGGGGAGATAGGCCTCCGTACTTAGGAGGGCCTGAGATGTACCCAGAGAGGTTGAATCTAAAACCAACCTGACATATAGGGAGTGCAGAATTATTAGGCAAGTTGTATTTTTGAGGAATAATTTTATTATTGAACAACAACCATGTTCTCAATGAACCCAAAAAACTCATTAATATCAAAGCTGAATGTTTTTGGAAGTAGTTTTTAGTTTGTTTTTAGTTTTAGCTATTTTAAGGGGATATCTGTGTGTGCAGGTGACTATTACTGTGCATAATTATTAGGCAACTTAACAAAAAACAAATATATACCCATTTCAATTATTTATTTTTACCAGTGACACCAATATAACATCTCCACATTCACAAATATACATTTCTGACATTCAAAAACAAAACAAAAACAAATCAGCGACCAATATAGCCACCCTTCTTTGCAAGGACACTCAAAAGCCTGCCATCCATGGATTCTGTCAGTGTTTTGATCTGTTCACCATCAACATTGCGTGCAGCAGCAACCACAGCCTCCCAGACACTGTTCAGAGAGGTGTACTGTTTTCCCTCCTTGTAAATCTCACATTTGATGATGGACCACAGGTTCTCAATGGGGTTCAGATCAGGTGAACAAGAAGGCCATGTCATTAGTTTTTCTTCTTTTATACCCTTTCTTGCCAGCCACGCTGTGGAGTACTTGGACGCATGTGATGGAGCATTGTCCTGCATGAAAATCACGGTTTTCTTGAAGGATGCAGACTTCTTCCTGTACCACTGCTTGAAGAAGGTGTCTTCCAGAAACTGGCAGTAGGACTGGGAGTTGAGCTTGACTCCATCCTCAACCCGAAAAGGCCCCACAAGCTCAT